GCGACACCTAAATTCTCATTTGGTTCCCCCAAAATTAGCATTGTCGAGGCAGGATGTTGCACACTTCCCGCGGTCACAGTATTTCTTGCAGGTGTTTCGCCTGACAGTGCTTGACTGGACAAGTGCGGCTGACGTCTTTCGAACAGAGCTCTCAAAATGTCACCTTCCCAAGAGGCAAACCAAATGTCGTCCGGAGATCAAGATACTACAAACATCATCGCTCACGCTCGACAAGCAGCACGGCCGACCATGTGAGAGAGCAAAAAGCCAACAGCAAACCTAGAAAGATGTCTAGTTGCAGACGCTTCGTTACCAACCCCAGGTGTGCGTCTGCTTGTGCAGAAGCGAAAATCAAGCGTCTAGAAGTTTTCCCACTAAATTTGGCCGTCGATATGGCAACACCCTCTCCAGCTGTCAGTTGAGTTCCGACCTGATCTCAAAAGTTGGAAAAGCATGCCGGCCGACCGAGCCAAATTACGAGAAAAAAAATGCAAATAAGTATCGCGGCCTAAATTTGAGGCGCTTCGGAGGCCCGTGCTCCCGTGCTAAGCGCTCGAGCCAAAAAAACACTCAACTCCCTGACGGTGGCACTGCTGTCGAGACTGCGCGTGCCCAGACGGTTAACTCGAGCCTGCTTCCTGCGCACGCGAAATACCCACACCTGGTGTGGGTAAGCGTGCGCATACTTTATAAACACTGTTTTGGTGTTTACCGTGCCCCAGAAGAAGGAAGCCAGAGAAACATTGTGTCAAATATTCGATTGACGTCACCACGGACGCGATATATCGAGGCGTCTTTGTCTATAGCGGAATCTGGCACCAATTCGACAAGAATGTGGCGGTCTGTGGACCCAAAGTTTACTTTACGGACTGATGGCGTAATGCACTTATTTGCACTAAACTTCTTTTAAAAAAAAAAACTTAAAAAAACTAAACATTCGGACAGAAAATAAATGTCAAAAAATAAACTAACCTCCCCTCCCTCCCCCCCTTTCCCCCTCAAAAAAAAAAAAAAGGTTGCGCATTATTTACGTTGCGAAACTCATTCCTCGTTATACGCGATTGTGAATTACATGTTTCAATTTCGACACGTGTATGCCCCTAAACAGAATTGTTTCGGAATTTCACAAATGAGTCTCGAAACGTACTTACTGTGGTCTGTCTCTCTGTGTGTCTGTGTCTGTCTGTGTGTGTGTGTGTGTGTGTGTGTGTGTGTGTGTGTGTGTGTGTGTGTGTGTGTGTGTGTGTGTGTGTGTGTGTGTGTGTGTGTGTGTGTGTGTGTGTGTGTGTGTGTGTGTGTGTGTGTGTGTGTGTGTGTGTGTGTGTGTGTGTGTGTGTGTGTGTGAGAGAGAGAGAGAGAGAGAGGGGGGAGGTAGTTGACATATGTGTCTCATCCAAGGTCTTAAAAAGTGAAGTGTCCCCTCTAAGCTTCGACGGAGGACGGTGCTCGTAGTATCCAAAGAACGAAGGCGCCACTGGTTAACGCTGGTTGCCCGTTCGGCGGTTCAATAAATGGTCGAAGGCGCCTATCGGTTGGACTACGTCAAACACAGTCGTAGCGTTGCAAGTGTGCTGAACAGACAGAGCGCTACCGCGGCGGGCAGAATAAGAATCGGGCAGCCATTCCCATTCACTGGCTTTATTCTACTTCCTCTTCTTCGTCGCCGCCGCTATATACGGTGATCACGCGCAAACATAAAATCTACATCACTACATCACTTCCCCCGAGGAGCAAAGAAATGAACAGAGCAAAACGCTTTTCAGGAGCAGACGTAGTCCCTGAGTCTTGTAGGAGGGTACCTTGTACGGACCGGTCGTGCTGTTCCTGATAGATCAGGGCCAGGGTCTTCAAGGAATCGCTGGTTTCTTTCGTCCTCCTCCACGTCGAGCTGTTGTTCAAATTCCGGAGTCGGACGTGGTCCTTCACTGGATCTTTGAGCTTCGTTGGGTTGCAGGTCTCGTCTCTCCCCCACGTCGATGTGTTGTTGAGCTTCCTGGTGAGGGTGAGTATGACGCGTGTTCATGGCGTTTTCTTCCTCAGCATCATCCGCATTGATCAATTCATTATGTGCTCTGAGCTTCGCACTCGTGGGAAGAAGTTTGAAGAAACTTGAGTTCCTTGTGATAATTTTCTGATCTCTCTGAGCAGTTACCTGCGTTCCTTTGATTTCGATTACTTTATATGGCTGCGGGTCATAAGGGGGAGTGAGCTTGTTCGACGGAGGCTGTCTACACAGTACCCGATCTCCGACTTCGAAGTTGTGGGCTCTCGCATGTCTGTGTTCATCTGCGTAAATCTTGTGCTTCTTTCGATTTTCGTAATCCTTGTGTTGCCATTCCTGTGGCACGTTGTTAGTGTCTGCGGAATCGGGAAGGAGGTAGCCCATAGGTCTTCCAAAGAGTAGTTCGAAGGGCGTTTTCCCTGTCGTTGAGTGAGGTGTCGCCCTATAGGCCATTAGAAATTTGCTCAATTCGGAAGTCCACGTAGAGTTTTCCAACGTTGTCGCCTGTAGAAACCGTTTAAGTGTGCGCATGAATCGTTCGACCTCACCGTTCGCTTGCGGCCAGCAAGGCGTGATGCGCTGTGGCGAAATCCTAGCGAGTCAGCGAAGTTTTTGAAGTCAAGGCTTTGGAATGGAGGCCCGTTATCCGTTTTGACGACCTTAGGAATCCCGAAGGTACTGAAGATCTTCATAAGGTTGGTGATGACAGTTGGGGCCGCTAACGATGATAATACCGCCACGAGAGGGTAACGTGACGTATCATCCATTAGGACTAGGGCTGGGTGTCGATTAAGAATTTTAACCCGATTAATCGCCACCCTTTAATCGATTAATTAATCGATTACTCGGTTGCGTTGATTTTTATAAATAATATATTAAAAAGAGTGGGCAACAACTCGTCTTGCCTTTGAAGACTTATTTTACTCTCTGTAACACGGCGCAAAAGATATTTAGAATTGAGGATACAGATACAGTAGTTCAACGATTCAAAGACGCACATATTTTTGCTCCAGCTCCGAAGACAAAGAAGTTTGTCCACATTCTCCGACAGGAAGACAAGAAGTCAGGGTTTGGGCAATGCTTTCTTCTTTTTTCAGGGAAGGGGGCCTTGATGAGAAGGCGTTGATTGTTGTCTGCGTTTTGGCGGATGGTCCTTGCTGCAGCGGCGTACATGGGTGCTTCGCTCGTAGGTGATACTGAAGCGAACTTACGCTTCCACTGTACGAAAACGACGCTTTGCAGATGATGCAGTGGACTTCCTTCGAGTTAAAAACTTCACCACTGGAGTTTACTTTAAATCCAAACTTTCCAGCGAGATTGCCTTTCATACTCGTGAAGTCGTCCATTTTTAAGGGCCGAATAATGGAACAAGTAACCATGGCGTTGTTAGCTTCCCAGCTGGCTTTTCTGCTTCGTTGTCTTGCCTGGGCAGAATGTGTAATAGATCCTCAACACGTGAAGGTTCGCGGTCACGCGGAGATCAATTCGGGGCCCGGCTTGTTCGTCTGGCCTCGGCAGAACTGTAATGTACATCCTCGAACACGTGACGCTTCGCGAGCTCGAGAATTGAACCTTGCTCTTAGCACCTTGTTGGGAGCGGAAGACTGCTCGGGACAGAACGACCGAATACACGCACGTACACAGCGTTTTCCTTAGAGCGGCGGGGGGGGGGGGGGGGGGGGGGGGGGGCATGAGTCACCCCTAGTTCGGGCAGGTTGTCAAGGATAGAGCCATGCGTGCGTACAGTTGACTTCTTTTTGAGTACCGATTAAAAAACCGATTAACCGGCTAAAAAATTTGGTCGCGATTAAAGTCTTAATCGATTAATCGGAAGGTTAATCGATCAATTGCCCAGCCCTAATTAGGACCATTATGTATTTGCCGTTAGGGAAAGGCCCCGCGAAGTCAAGTGAGAGCGCCTCCCAAGGTTGATTTGGCTTCGATGGAATCGCGACGGGGTCAGAGTGTTGATGTTGGATGGTTGCCTGACACGCCATACAGTTTTTAAGAGTAGTTTGTACCATGCTGTCTAGGTGGGGAAACCATACTTTTCGCTTCATGAGCGCTTTTGTTTTGGAGATGCCCTGGTGCCCAATGTGAGCGAGACATATCGCCTGTTGCTAGAGAGCAGCCGGTAGAACGAGGCAATTGCCTTTCAGTAGTAGGCCGCTGTCCGTCAGAGAGAGCTCGTGCTGTACGGATATAAACTCTCTGAGTGCTGGGTCGTTCCACCTGGCAGGATTGCTGAGGGCAGCGATCACCTTTTGCATATGAGGGTCGTTTAGAGTGGCGGCAGCTACTTCTGCACGAGTCATGGCTTTGGGAATGTTGTGGTGGGCAATGAAGTTGACATATGCATTAGTGCTATGAGCCAGGCGGGCGTCAGCAGGGGAGCTCGGCATGGGATGGCGAGACAGGTAATCCGAGGGCTTGTTGATTCCACGCGTGTGCTCCACTCTGAAGTTGTATTGTTGGATTCTCAACACGAGGCGTTCAATTCGTGCAGACGGACACGCCCGTGGGTTGGTGAGGATGGAGACAAGGGGTTTGTGGTCTGTGCGAATGAGAAAGTTGTTACCGTAAAGATACAGATGAAAGTGCTCTGTCCCCCAGACAACTGCAAGCAACTCACGTTCGATCTGAGAGTACCGTGCTTCAGTGGGGGTCAAAGCCCGACTAGCATATGCGACAATCTCGGTGTTGTTGCCTTCCTTCTGTGCTAGTATGGCACCAAGGCCAACAGGCGACGCGTCGACCGTGAGAATTATTTCTTTTGTACCATCAAAAAAGACAAGGTTGGGGATCTCAGACAGCTTTTCTTTCAGCGTATCCAAAGCACCTTGCTCTTCTGGTCCCCACACCCACTTGGTGTTCTTTTTTGTGAGAAGCCGAAGAGGGTACGTTATATCAGCAAGGTTAGGTAGGAAGCGTCCGCTGTAATTTACTGTACCAAGCAGACTTCGAACTTCATGAGCGTTGGCAGGGGCCGGCATTTTTTTTAGTGCTGCGATTTTCTGGGGGTCTGTTCTGATTCCAGAAGCAGAGAAAATGTGACCGAAAAACAGAGTTCTTTCTGTGCGAAGAGACATTTTTTTGGATTAACTGTGAGGCCGTTCTCTGTCAACCTTTCGAGAGTTGCCTGGAGAGCCTGATCATGCTCATCCTTTGTCTTGCCAAACACAAGTATATCATCACTGATGTTGAGGACGTGAGGTATGCCGTTGAGTACTTGACGGATGGTTTCCTGGAAAACCTCGGCAGCTGCGTTAATTCCAAACATAAGTCGTTTGTAGCGGTACAATTTGTTGTGTGTTGCAAATGTTGTGATTGTTCTTGATTCATTATCAAGTTCTAGTTGGTGGTACCCATCTTTTAGATCAAGCTTCGTGAAGAGTGTTGATCCGTTCAGCGCTGTGATCACGTCGTCGATGGTAGGGCAGACGTGCCTCTCGCGAAGAATGGCCCTATTCGCACATTTCATGTCGATGCATAGGCGAATGTCCTCTGGATTGTGCGGCTTTGGCACAATTACGACTGGTGAAACCCATGGAGTAGGTCCGGTTGCTTCTTCGATGATATCAAGGGCCAAGAGCTGGCTTATCTTCTCTTCTACTTTGCTTCGCACTGCAAAAGGGATTCTGCGATGGGGCTGAGCAACCGGGGCAATGGCTTTGTCAATGTGGAGGTGTACTTGGAGGTTTTTTAGTTTGCCTACACCCGCACACAACTCGGGAAAAGCAGCGAGTGGGGTCTCGAGCAAATTTGGGGGCACCTCTCCATTCGAGCGTGCATCTTTTTGTGAGTGTCCTTGGATGGCGTAAGTAATTTGGATTAGGCCCAGTCTATTTGCAGCAGCGAAGCTCAGCAGTGACTTCACGGTTCCCTCTATTACGAACACGTCTTCTGTTGTGTCGCTGTCCCTGTACTTCAGCGTGACACTGAGCTTTCCTATGATTGGTAGCGGAGCATCCGATCCATAGGCGTAAATACGCGTGCCTGCTTGTTGGAGTTTTGTGAGTGCTCCAAGCTTGTTAAGGGTAGAGGTTCCAATGACCGATACTGAAGCACCTGTGTCAATAAGAAATGTTATAGGGGTGTTGTTAACCTGCAGATGAACCTCTGGGAGGTTTTGGTGCGATACTTGTGATATAGTTCCGACAGCATAAACGCTCTCGTCGGAGTCAGAATCATGAGAAATCTGGAAGATAGGCTTGTGTGCTGATTGGCACACCTTGCCATAGTGTCCTTTTCTGCCACATGCTTTGCAAGAGGCAAATTTGGCGGGGCAGTTTACTTGTCCTCCCTCGTGGGGCCAGGGAGCACCACAGTGGAAACACTGGGGAGGCGAGACGTGGGTGCGTTGTTGTGCGCTGCCTCCATATTTCAGACGGGAAGAGAAGCAGCGAGGTTGTTGGGCATTTCTGGATGTGCCTGCATGGCCGTAGCGAGGCTGTCCAGAGATTGCTTGAACCGTGGTGGTTGTTGACGACCCTCCCATGGCAGTCGTTGCTCGGTTGACATCCTCGAGGAGTCGAGCCTGATTCAAAAGTGATGGAAGGTTAAGGTCTTGCCTTGGGGCTACTCGTCGTAGGCGTGAAGATGTCGTTGCAAATATGATCTGGTTCTTGATTTCCTCGTCGGCGTTCGCGAAACCGCAATTGCGGGCAAGCAGTCGAAGCCTTATCGAGAATTGGCCGACAGATTCGCCCTCGAGTTGCTTTGCCTGACGAAACTGAAAGACCTCGAAAGTGGTGTTCATGCGGGGATTGAAGTATGCGTCAAGCTTGTTTTTGAGAGATTGGTATGAGTTTCTGGTCGTTACTGAGGGTGTATCAGCATCTGGCGTCGTACTTGAAGTGGGACCACTCTGCTGGTCAGGAAGGGTATCGCAGAGTTCATGGACACGTTCCCCCGCATAGTGGAGCAGGAGAGAACGTTTGCGTGCTTCATTCTTCACATCGAAAGCGATGAGGAAATTTTCAAAGCGAGTGATCCACTTTCGCCATTCGGTGCCGATATTAGTTGGGTCAGTGGCATCCAAGTCAAAAGGGGGCAGTGAGGTTGGAATGAGGGTCATCATTAGTGGAGAACAGTAGGCTTGGCTGTGAAGCTAGCGGCTTGTGATACAGCGGCGGCGCGCTGCGAGGTCGTAGAGGGTGGACACTTGCCAGAACAGTAGCCGAAGACTGCCTAACACATCCTCGTCGCCAATGTAGCGTTGCAAGTGTGCTGAACAGACAGAGCGCTACCGCGGCGGGCAGAATAAGAATCGGGCAGCCATTCCCATTCACTGGCTTTATTCTACTTCCTCTTCTTCGTCGCCGCCGCTATATACGGTGATCACGCGCAAACATAAAATCTACATCACTACAGTAGTATCCAAAGAACGAAGGCGCCACTGGTTAACGCTGGTTGCCCGTTCGGCGGTTCAATAAATGGTCGAAGGCGCCTATCGGTTGGACTACGTCAAACACAGTCGTAGATGATGTGCGTGTTTCTTATGACGGGTTTGATTTTCTTTTCCATGAGAACAATAATTTTGAGCATTCCATTAGAAAACAAGGGAGAGTGAAGAATCTAATTGAAGGGGTGACTGAATCAGTGCTGACGAAAATCTGTCAGCCCAGTGGTTAAAGCTGCCTCCATCCCTCCCCTCTAAAGGTGTATCCACACGACGGACCAAATTGCTGTTTTGGTCCGCGGGCCGCGCATCACGTGATCTTACGTCACCGCTTTTCGAGGTCCGCCGGCGGTCCGCGGTCCGCGCTTGTGAGAAATGCCAAGCGCTTTTCTCGCCCGGACCTTGGCGGCGGACCGCGGCGTTTTTAGTATACTTGAACTGCTAAGTCTGGCAACAAGCTGACTTTTGTTGTTTGAATTGGAATCCAAATCCAAAGTCGTGTTCTTTTAGCGCCAACTGTTGAAGACGAAGAAGGCGAACCTTTTGTTGTGCGACGATGGCGGCATGGTGCGACGATGCAACTTTTTACTTCATCGCGCTCGTGGAGCAATTCCCAGCTCTGTAGGACAATAGATGCATGCCCTTTTCGGTTCACTTAAGTCCTCCTCGTCCTCATTAGTCAACGCCAGGGCCACCGCGGCCAAAAGTCTCTTTCGTTCAACCTCCATCTTGGCTCCTTATAAATAGCCTCAAAGCAGCTCGCTGCATGTTTTTGGCGGAGCCGTGAGGTCGAGGGTTAGACCGGCCCGTTCACTCTGTCGTCTGCTCTTTTGGTCCGCCGTGTGGATGCTCATTGCAGCCGGGCGGCCCGCGGGCCGCGCATCACGTGATCAATCGGTCCGCGGCCCGGTCCGTCGTGTGGATACACCTTAACTTGCCCCATTTTTTTTCTCATTTGTTTAAAGTGTAATCAGACACAAGAATTTGTATCGAATTATCTTTGTGAGCCTGGATACACCGTGTGTCCCTCAGGTTTGAAGTCAGGCTGCGCATAGGTTTCCTATGATATTTCGAATATACCCGTTTATGGATGGAGGCAGTAGTACTAAAATAAGAGTTAAAACGCCGACGAGCTGGTGAACAATCATAATTAAGTATTAAATACCTCGAGACAAGGGAACAAAATGGCCATACACATTACCGTCTCAAAACCAGCACAGCATATAGCTGTCACTTACTTCCACAACAGCCTTCGTCTTTGTAAACTTCCATCCGTATTACAGACATTCAACAGCAGGCACACTTACTACACTAAGAAAGCCTCGAGCACACGAACTAAGTCATCTTGCTTGTCGTCTTTTTCTTCGCCATCTTCCTTCTTGTCGCATTTCAATTACTAATAGATGTTCTAACGGCAGGCATAGAAACCATGAGCATTAAACATAAGTCTAAACAGAAGAAAAAGATGCCTGAGGCAGTGTGTGCAGAGTGCCTTCAGTAAGATGTATTAGGAGTAGTGTGAACGAGGCTTGAGACAAAGCGCAAGGCCGTTTGAAAGGAAAACATCCAGATTGATCCAGAACATACATGCGGCACGTACGTGTTATCCTCACATTTTCTCAATAAGCGCTTTTTTATTAATTTATATGGGCATAACGGCTCTCATTGCATCGCCACGCGGAGGTCGCTTTGCGTCAGGTGCTACCTCGCAAACTTCCTCTGCGAGTGCAAGAACAAAAACAAGTTCACGAGCTCCGACGCCTGCCGGAATCAGGAGCGGCGGAGAGCCGAGTTACGACAGGGACGGGAAACACACGGGCGTGCCGTACGTGATGGAACCGAGGAATGGTCGACCAGCGATCAAAACTGTTGGCAACTTCGCCTGTTACCTTTTGTACCGTGATTGCAGACTATGTCTTTAGTCTTACTCCACGACCGAAAGGAACGCAGTAAGGAAAAGCGACAGGAATACCATCGTCTTTGTTATAAAAACTGTGTAGGGGAAAGAAAGAAAAAAAGCGCTTGGCGTTCTTTCTGTTTGCGTTATTGGATTAAAACAACCAAGTTTTAATGGCGTTTGATGAAATTCGTGTTTCACGTTTCTTAGAGGTTGTTTGCCCCAACCAGGCGGACAAGCAAGCGGCACTGATTGCCTTCAAACAGAACAGCTTTTTGGCGAGCGTTCTTCGCGAGTGACGCCTTTTCACAAATGTTTGTTCCTCGGTTGGCGGCGCTCGAGAAGAAAAAAAGTTGCTAATCAGGTTGATTTTATATGTCCGCGCACATGTCTGTTCTTTTCGAATTCGTCGAATGTCTTTCTTTAAGGCAAGCGAATTGCTTTCCGATCAATCGGGACTTCCCAGTGACGTCGACGCCGGCTTTCCTACAGAACGAGCTCCTCAAAGGGACCCTGAAAAAATAAAATGTTTTTTTAAGCAGTCTGGTTGGGACATGTCGAAAAATTAATTTTACGCCAAAATGACAAGTTTTAGAGCAATATTGACAGCGCGAGATATATTTTGAATTCTGCGCGCAAAATCCACGACGTCACGGAATGGTAATACACTCTTTCCACTTCAATGTGATGGCCAAGCCGATCCACCTCTCCTCCACGCGCCCGAAATCCCGAGAGAGAAAACAAGGAAAAGGAGGTGGACGACTACCGACGAAATCGCCGTCTCGAGCCTTCAATATTGCTCTAAAATTTTCTTTTAGCGTAAAATTAATTTATTATTACGCGTGTCCCTACCATACTGTTTAAAAAAACAGATATTTATTTTTTTTTATTTTTTAGGGACTCATTAAATTCATCGCTTTAATATCACCGAACACTCAAGGAACGCTCACCTAACGCTCAAGGAACAAATGGTCAGCAAGCCAAGCTCGTCGGTCATCTCTCACACACCATCAATATGCTCAGCGGACAAAAACTCATTGGTATTTTAACAGATCCGGACATAAGGTGTCGTCCGGTGAGCTTATGTCGGGTGACCTTATTAATTAATTAATTAATTTGTATATTTTCTGCGCTCACGAACAGCTTGACGCCTTGATAATGATGCACAAGAGATTGATCACAGGTTAGTTACAAACAACACAAAAGTGCGATTAAGAACATCAATATCTGCTACGCCGAAGGTATCTTACAAGTGTTGAATGCGGGTCTTGGGACCCCTACTTTTACAAGGAACTTGATAACGGTGCGAAATAACTTAATAAACAGCAAAAGTACGTATCAGACTGTAAAACGAAAACAATGAGGTTTGGCATTAGGGCCAAGAAAACTCTTATTCTTTTTTTTTTTTTTTCTAGTCAGTAACCCGTACATCAGATATTTTAACAAGTTGTACCACTCGGCTATCAAGGCGCTCGTAAAAGTTGGTACCACAGGTTTGACGTCGGCGTGCTGTACGTCGAACTGAAGTTTTGGCGTGTATTATATAGGGCAAACGGCGTAAGAATATACCCTTGTTTTCTGAGAGTGTCGTCTTTATCGTCTCTTGATGGGTTGGGGCTTCGAGAAATTAAAAAGGAAGAGCAACTTTTCCCTCGTCGAGAAGGAGGGCATACTCGAGTGGAGACAACGGTACACTTGATGACGACCTTGAAGCTGAGATACAAGAACAGCGAAATCTTGTATCAAGATGAGACTTTGGGGTTAACTCCAGCCATGCAATTGACAAGCTATGGACCGACAGCCCAGCAAAATCAGCGAGCCAAGCGTTTAAGTTTAGGAAAATTACTAGGCTGAAGACCCCTTCAATGAAAAGTTGAAGGATGATTGTTACTCATGCAAGCAGCAACGACAACGCTTTCGGAACGGCTGTATTTTTCATTGCTCAAAAAATATCGTATTAACGTTTATGATGATCGGCATGAAAGCCGCCTCTCTTGGTGCCTGGAGCTGAGTGAGGCTCGTCAGCGCCCATCGGGGTCCAGGGAGCGTGAGCCACCCGGACGCACCGCTGCCGACGCGCACCGACATTGGATCTACTGAGCCAATCAACAACCTAGAGAATCACCGAAAGCACTTGGGGTAAGCCGAATGACGGAAGCGTATGGAACGAAGAGAATAATTAATTACTTTATTTCGAGCGAAGCTATGATCCAGCCCAAAATGTTAAAGCGAAGCGAACATTTCCCTATACTATATCAACCACCTCGAGGCCGTGTAATAACGCACACGACTATCCTCCTATTCTGGGTATCTATGTAACACAAACACTTGTGTATCACCACCCTAAAACGAAAGTGTTTTTTTTTTTTTTTACATTACTTTTTAAGTCCTTCGATTACTGAAAATATTGTTTTAAATGCGCCGATTTATCGGAATATCGATTATGAGGCCAGCTTTGAGG